CCTGTGTCTTCATGGGTTTCTCTCCAAGATAGAAGGTTTTCTCTCAGAGGAAACTGCTGCATAATACCTATCCATAGCAAAGTTCGGCTTCTGGTTTCCTATGACTGCTGCTAAGAGGTCTACATCTTCCAGTTATTTGGGTTCAAAACCTTCGAGTTATCTTTCAATCCTTTTTCTTTTTTTCTTCTTGGTGGTGCTACGGATCAAATCTAGGGCCTTGCATGTTTTGGGCGAATGCTCTACCACTGAGCTGTATCCCTAGCCATGTGAAATGGCTCTTGTATCAGTTTTTTTTTTTTTTTTTGGTCTTTTTGAGACAGTGTCTCCCTGTAGCCCCAGTTGTCCTGGAACTCACTATGTAGACCAGACTGGCCTTGAACTCACCGAGATCTGCCTGCCTCTGCCTCCCAAGTGCTGGGACTAAATGCGTGTGCCACCACACCCGGCTCAGTTTGTTATTTTTATTTCTACTGTACTTGCTAAATCAAGACCCTATCACTTTTTGGCACTACTTTTTCCTTCCTTCCTTCCTTCCTTCCTTCCTTCCTTCCTTCCTTCCTCTCTCCCTCCCTCCCTCCCGCCCTCCCCCCCCTCCCGTTTCCTTCTTTTTTTTGGTCGGGGGAGGGTATAGAATCTCACTGTGTATCCCAGGCTGGCCTCTAAGGTTCCTCCTGCCTCAACCTTCTGAATGATGGAAATATAGGTGTGTGTCACCATGCGAAACTACTTTTCTAAACTAATTGACCTCCTGTCATCTCATCTCTGCATGTCATTTATTCCCCTTTCTGCAAAGCTATATTGGGGAGATTGAATCAGGGAAATGAATGAGTTAAACATTTCTGTTACATATATATCTTCCACAATATAACCTTAACCAAACTTTTCCACCTTTCCCTCAGTACATAAATCAGTTAATCCAATGTTTATCAGGCACTTCCAGTGTACTAAAGACTGTGCTAAGCACAGGACTAAACCTATCTGTGTTTTTTCAGCTATCAAGTATTTACTGAGCACTTACTGTGTACCTAGTACTCTAAAGATCTCTTTTAATTTACTCTTGAATTGAATCCATGTACCCACAGAAATTTAATGCCATATGCAAACATGGAGATTTCCTTTGCATTCAATGAAATTTAAGAGACTTTACTGATGCACAAATATGTTTTACTGAGTACAGTTTTTTTTTTACATTTTGTGTGACTGCCTATGTGTGGGTGAGTGCTTGTATGCCAAGACTTGTATGTGGAGATCAGAGGACAACTTGCAAGAGTTGGTTTTCTCCTTCCACCATGTAAGCCAGGCTTGGTGGCAAGCATCTTTATCCACTGAGCCATCTTGTTGACCCTAGAGTACTTATTTTGGTTAAGACTTGTGCTAAGTGCTGTTGGTAAAGAATAAAGTGATAATCTGATTCCTGCCCTAGAGGTGTTCATGACCTTTGAAAAAATATGATAATGTGTCAGGAGAGCTAGGATTACCCAGGGAGATCAGAGCCCTTTTAGGAAGAGGAGCCCCTAACTCAGTCTGAGTTTGGTGACCTTTAATCTGAGGTTTGTCGGCCAAGTAGAAGTCAGTTTAGGAAGAAGGGAGTTGTAGGCCTGTCCAAGCAGAGAGAACACATGGAAAAGCACATAGGAGATGTGTACTCATAGGAAGCATTCAGGGAACTACAAGGAGTTCAGACTAGACAAAGTAAAATATCCCAGGGGAGAACAGACTATAATAGTGAGGAAGCAGCCTGGAGCCAGGGTGCCTGGAGCAGTGTGTCTCTCAGGTTAAGGGGCCAGAACTGAAAGCAGTGAGGAGGGCATTGAAGGATGTAGAGCAAGGGTGTAACATCTAAAAGCCGAGCCATGCTTCAGAAAGCGCTGTCTCATAGAACTATGGGGGAATGATTGACAGGGACCAAGGCAGAGGTCATACTTTTCCAGCAAAGGGCCAGATAACAAATTCCTTAGACTTAGCAGGCCCCAAGGTCTCTTGCAGAATTACTCAACTCTGCCCTTGCTGAAGAAAAAACAGCCATAAACCGTAAGCAGATAAATGGACGCCACCATTTGTATGGGTGTTCAATACACCATTATGGGTGGACACTGAAATTTTGATTTCACATGATTTTTACATGCCACAAAATATTATTCTTTTGTTTCTGTTTTTAATCCTTTAAAAAAATGTTAAAACTTTCCTTAGCCCTAAGTCATGAAAAACTTCTGGCCCTTAGGCCATAGCCTGGTCTTTGATAATCTCTGCACTAGGGGATGTAATCACTGAAAAGATAGAAGGTCTTTTGAGAAGCTTATCTCTCGAGTGGAGAGGAGAAATAGTGCAATAGTTTCAGGGAAGTATTGAGAAAGGGCTGTTTGTCAGAAGATCCCCCCAAACGTAGGCAGAGAGCAGCAAGGGACAGAGAAGGAGCCGCTGAAGATGGTGGGGGTGGGTGATCATCAGAGTTGCTTCTGGAAGAAGCAGAAAGGAAGTGATGGGATGAGAGCACAGTTTGAAAAATGTTTCCTAAAAAAGGAGGCGATACCTCTTACAGGAAACTGAGAGAGAGAAAGGAGAGATGGGCATTAATGGGATATTTAAGTCAATTGAGGGTAGGATTTTCCCAGAATGCTTTGAGTTTTCCAGCGAGAACAGAAATAAGACTGGAATTCTACGTTGCATTATCTGACTACTGAAGACAATGATGGTGGCTGAGCTGAGAGAAAGACAGAAAACCCATGAACCAGACTCCCAAGTACTCTGAATGCATAGGAGTGACCAGGAAGTGGTTAGATGTCAAAAACAAGGAAAAGAGAAGGTGCCTGAGTTTCTCATGAAGGGTGGTGGTGGTAAAGTCATACCTTTGAAACAGAATTAAGGAGGGAGCAAAGGCTCAGTTCCTTCAAGGCCACATGTTACATGGTTGTGTGTGTGTGTGTGTGTGTGTGTGTGTGTGTGTGTGTGTGTAGACTAATGAGGTGATGAAATCAACTGCCTCCACTTGAAAATGCTTCAGAGCATGTAATGTCCTTGGAGAGGTAAAGGGAGGGGATGGAGGGGGCCTATGAGTGCGGTAACTGAGGGGTAGTTTGCTCACAAGGGAAGCCATGCTGGAGAGCACATTGCTGGGGACAGTTAGGGATGGCAGCAAGGACCAAAGAAACGGAACTGAGAATGAGAAGTGGAAATGATGAGAAAGAAGCACATTCTGAGGGGAACCTAAGGCCATGGGGATTGGTTGCCTGGTAGACTTATTGCTCTCTCCAGATTCCTCCTGGAACACTGCTATAAAGACACTGCTTATGGATCACATTAGGTTGCTGGGGCTGTTATGGACAGAGGTAGTAGTCTGGAGCTGGAAGATTTGTTAAATGTCATCAAGGAGGCAAATCTGTGACTTTGTTCTTAAGTTCCAGGCACTCATCAGAAAGTAGTTTTGTAGGAAGGCAAATCAGCCTTGGAATGAGTAGTGAGGCCCAAATGATGCAAGCTGTTTTAGGTGTTCCGGGATATCAAGATAGGCCTGAAAAGAGTACAGTGAGAAGCCTAGGAATGCTCTTCGCCTGGGTTTCTTCCTGTATAACATGTCCAGCCCTGTATGAATAGGGAGGTGCAGTTAGACTAGAGTCAGGGTAAAGGAGGCAGGATGAGGTTTCTTGGGCCATGAGGTTTCTTGGTAAAGTCCCGGGTACTGATAGGAGGGAACAGGCAATCACTGCCTGGGACAGCTCCTGACCTGTCTGGTAGAACCTGGAGAAGAACCAGCTTTCTATAGCTGTTTTTATTTCTTTAAAGCTCACTATCCTCATAAAGTTTCAAAAGCTTGTTAGTGGAGATGACTCCACACTGGGGCAGCTTGTCGCTGCCTGGATGTTGTCTTTTTTGCCAGGCTGCATGACCCTCAGACGAAAAGGTTTCAGAATAGTGAGTTCTAGACAAAATGACAGTAATTGGATTGATAGTAGTATCAATGGCATCATGAAGGCTTTGCTGAAGGATGCATATTTAGAGGGAGAAAGAATGGATTCCTTTACTGGATACTATCTTCAACAGGTAGAGGCCTGAAGGGAGGGTGACAGGCCAGGGCTTGAAACTTGTAACTTATTCAAGTAGAAGTGAAAGTCTAGAGAAAAGGAAGGCCACAGCAACCAAGTAGTGATCCAACAATACTGGAGAAGTTCCTAAACGCAGCTCAAGTATGGAGGTAAGCTGTGATAATTCTGCCTTGTGGAGTCCAGAGGAGGAACACACAGGAAATACTCTGAGGAAAAGAGATGACAGGTAGGGATCAAAAGTGACAGCGGAGCTGCGGACATTTGCTTTAAAGGAACAATCAAAGGGAACAAGAGGATAGAGAGGGGAAACCTGCAACTACCAAAGATTTCTTTGCGACTGGAAGTATTTTTGAGTGTCGTTAAATTTGAGCACAAGACGGCTGAATATTCTTTCCGAGGTTGATGAGTCTCTGTACATGTTCCTAATACGACAGATGACATAAATCAACTGTTGACATGCAAAGAAAACCTGATTATACCAACACACACATGATCCTCGCCTTTGTGTGAATTCCTTTATGAACTACTACAGTGGTGGTGGTGTTTTCTTCTCCCCAATGAGCACAGAATAAGGGGAGCTCGATTTAAATTACAGAGCTGGAGATTGCGGCCACTCCCAAGGGAACAACTTCTTATCCAGTTAAGAGACACTGGGGGACAGTATCCAGACGGGTTATGAGAAAGATCGATTACTGCCCCTTCACCCTCCCAAGAGCTGTCATAATAGAATGAAAGTAGAGAGCGCCCAGTCTATGTCTGATTACACTGGGCCCGTGTTTCTTCAGCACAAAACAGTGGGCTCGGTTCCATGAGCTTTCACGCCTGGAAGCACTGTACTGAGAGTGCAAGTAGGTGGGCAGAAGAGCAGAGGGGGCGGGAGGTGCTGCGAGCCCTTTAAGCGTGGAGGCAGGGAGGGGTGGCACGCCCGGCCGGCCTCCCTCTGGCCCCGCCCCTTTCCCGTGAGCCCTCGGGGAGTGGTCCGACAGCGGGCGGCTGCGGGTGAGGAGAGGGGCGGGGGG